CCGCAGAAGAAACTAGACTGGAAGAACATCGGCCCCTTAAAGGTCGAGAAGGCCGTGTCGCCGTACGCCTACAAACTAGAACTACCTGCAAGTATAAGAGTACACCCTGTGTTCCACGTTAACCTGCTCCGACCCGCTGTCAACAACCCCCAGCCCGGACAACGTATCGCACCCCCGCCGCCTATTGAAATTGATGGGGCTGAAGAGTTCGTGGTACAAGAGATTTTAGATTCTCGCTGGGAACGAAGAGGCCGAGGTAGCCCGCGATTACGATATACCGTGAAGTGGGTTGGGTATGATGATCCGACCGAAGAACCCGCAGAGTATTTGGAGAACGCGCAGCAGATCGTCGCAAACTACCACCGCCGATATCCCGACAAACCTGGTCCTTGATAGGATACTCGCAGGAGCTCGCCCTTAGAAGGGGGGCGTATTGTCACAGCTGGTCAAGGCTGGGGCCTACCCTGTAGCGCAGTCACGTGGACGCACGCCTGCCCCTGCATTTCGTCGCGATCCTGACTGTCTTTTGATTGTAGCTCTTCGAGCTACGTCTTGTACATAGAGCCTGCCCTACCTGAGGAGTGCCTATCCGTAGCAATAGACCTGATCAGCCTGACCGAGTGTTCCCCGTCCTACCCGCCGACCGACCGCCCTTGACAGTATATCTCCATGCTTAATAGCGCTGGGGAAAATAGCTTGCTCTGTTACAGGGGTTTGTAGTGCTAATAAATGCAGTGCCTTCTAGGACCTTCTGTAAGGTTCTAAGGGCTAGCACTGCCACACTCGCTATTACAAATTAAACCTTCTATGACTTTCCACTAGGTTCGGTTTGACCCACTCTTTTATAGGGCATTATAGCGCCCTCACGCCTATAAATATAGGCCTTCGCACCCTAGTAGATAGTTCTCAATCAAGTCATTCATTCACTTTCTTTACCTATCGGTTTGCCTACCCTAAAGAGGGTTCCCGGATTATCGCGATTCACTTCCCCTGCGCCTCTAAGAGTACTACTCTTTAATAAACTTATAAAAAGTTTAGCAAATAGTACCTAAAGCAGCAGTTTTAAGTAAGCCTTTAGGTGCGCTTTTTTACAAAATTAAAGGGCTATATAGCAGAGCGGGTCTTATAAGAAAGAGTTATAATAAACAGTGGCTTGAATATTTGTCCGTAATAGCCTAATAGTGCTAGTTAACCTGGCACTTCAGAATGCGTGATGTGTCGCAAGGTGACTGGCATGTCCCTGCATAAGATAATGAATAAGGTCGATAGTCTTGGTATGCTAGTAAAATCACTGAAACAGGAGCCAGTCATGCTAAAGAATAGAAACACTGTTAAGCTCGTGTCTTGCTGCGTATCTCACGCACCCATTACTGAGCAATACTGATCGATGTACCTGGTGAATGGCATGTTCTTGTCGTTCAGCCTGACTGTGATCTTATCCCAAAGATTTCGTGCCGAGAAGTCTAACTCCTGCAGGCTTTCAGAGTCGTAGGAAAGTACGCTTAGCAGATCACGTCGGATAATACTGGAAGATGCTCGGATGGTGGCGGGCGCTGTGGCGAGGTTGATGATCCTACCGACGATTGTTGCAACGTCGGCAAGGTTTTGATCAGGTAGATTGCTTGTATGAACCATGCCGCAGTAGGAATGAAAAATCGAAAATCCCGTGCGTGTGACCGGATCCTGGAACCGTCGATGAAGCTTCCCCTGTTTGTAACGAAGGAGTCCGGTTCTTTTCCGATCACTTGCTTGCTAACCAAGTGAAAGGATTAAAGCTCCACCATCCTTCCTGTGTCTTGGCTGCTCCGAGGAAGTGATAGCACTGTCGACAGCTCGTCTGAGATGTGGCTACTATCAGGGCCTCTCATCTTTGCCCACAGCACGCGAAGAGGGTAGCTGGGTGGCCGAGCTGGCCTGTTGTTCCGACGCAGCCAACATTGTTTGAGTTGCCAGCAGGCGTAGACGGCCGCAGGCAGTCCAATAAATGCGCTCACAAGAATTGCGACTATCGTGATGATCTCTGACCGCGAGAGACCGCTGCCACTGGAGTCCCCGGGATCCTCGTCGCCGCCCTCGTCGCCGCCCTCGTCGCCGCCCTCGTCGCCGCCCTCGTCGCCGCCCTCGTCGCCGCCCTCGTCGCCGCCGCTGCCGTCGCTCGACGTAGGCTGATCAGCTAAGCGTGTTGATGTGATCGCTGGACACGCATGTGAGTACTTGTCATGCCTCTCCACCCTGGACTGATAGTAATCTGATAGACTTACTAGACGCTGTGGTCTGTGTCCCAAAGCCAACCTCAATGCAGAATGACTGATATCCTTCCAGAGCCAGTGAGACGGCAATGCCACTGTCAATATCGCAATGTCTTGCCAGTTTGCTCGCCATTTCCCGAATCGAGTCTTCGATGTCCTCTGCCCGTTGCTTAGCGCAGAAGCAGTCCGTCTCGCCATTCGCACACCCAGACGCGTACACCGCCGACTTCTCTCGCATGCCCCAGCAGCCCGAACCGCCGTCATCACCTGCGAGGGCGCATTTGGAGCATTTGTTGCCAATGTCGAAGTACGCTTGCGACTGTTGCACCGCGGCTTCGAGGTCCTGGACCGTACCGGCTGCCACTGGGCAAGGGAGAAGAGACAGCGTGATGCTCGCGATGATGGCTATCAGGAGTCGGTAAACCATGTCGTCGAACTTCAGGATTGGACGGCTTAAGCTCAAGGTTGTTCTATTCAGCACCCCCTTAAGCTTAAGAGGAAGAAGCCCTTGGTGTGGGAGATCACAATAGAATGATTCAAGGACTGGGCTGTGGCAGTAGAGCTTTTGAAAGATGGGAAAGCAAGGTTGGAGATCTGAGCACGCAGCACAGATCCCAGCGGCTACCTTGGTCCCTAGCTATTCAACCTGACTGAGGGAAGGAGGCTTAGGCCACTCTGGCGACCATCCAGACTAATCCTTTCTGCTACTCATATGACCTGGTATGACGTAGCTGGGCCCTAGGGCTCCCAGGTCCAGCTGTGTCTCAGGGCCCAGCTTTTCTCGCCCGATGGACGCATCGCCACCTGACCTCTGGGTTAATTAGTGTGGTGTTTGACAACAAGGGACACTTGAACGCAGCGCCAAGTTGCAGCCGCATGAGCCCGGCCCCAGCCTAGCCTAGCTCCCCAGAGGCAGCTAACACTGATCCAGATGCGCCGCGCCACGCCATGCTCTTTCACGCCACTAGGTGTAAGAGCTGAAAACGCACACGATTCAATGCGGCTGAATAAGGCAGCCTGCCGCACGATAAGCCTCCATTGCGCCGGACGCCTCACTGTCCCAAGGCTGCACGTCCCGCGCGACTTAATATCCCCAACAGCTGAAGCTTGGGACTCAAGGCGGCCTTGACAACCGTTGTCGTGCGCCATCGCTATCTACGCGACCCCTGCGGTTGGGAAGCTCTCACCAGGCTCAGAGCAGTCTGATCGACAGGGGCAGAATGCAGCCACTCCAGCTTCTGATGTTCAGCAGCTCGGGTGACGTGTGGCTGCCACACGGCAAGGCCCCCCAGACAGGTGTCCACAGAGATGGGGGGGCCCATCACACCTCTCGACTCTAGTCTTCCATTGTGGCTGCCACACGGCAAGGACTACCCAGGCAGAGGTCCATAGCGATGGCGGAGCCGTCACACCCTCCCAGCTCTAGACTCTTATTATGGCTGCCACAGACCGGTATGTGCGTCGACGCCGCAGCGGGAAAACGCCCTAGATGCGATGAATGACATCGCTACGGCCCGACCAGGGGCGGAAGGCGACCATTCGTGTGTCACTAGCGGTGCGACAGATGGTAACGTCGATACCCTCAGCCCCCTTTTCGACAGCTCCTCGTGGATGAATCTTTATCTTCATGATACCGCGCCGGACGATGACTTCTGCCTTGACCAAAGCGCACGTAGACCGCAATCTGCAAAAGAGGCACAACACTCCAGATGTGGCGCACCGGGACCCCGAGGCGGTCAGGTCTTCCCGACCACCGCATGCCGAACACTTGTGCAAGAGTGCCTTCGCTTTGTCCGGAGCGTCTTGACAAGCAATCCGGCGTGGTGTCAGTCTACATATGGATAGACTGAGTGCCCTTTCTGCTTATCTATGCCACATGTAAACGCAATATAGTCATTTTTGAACCGCCAATCTACTAGAAATATCCAACTTCAGGAAATTCATGCGTAAAAGAGGCGTATCATCAGGCTCCATTGACGCAGAGCGGCAGGCATTCATCTAACCGACGGTGTCGAGCCTGGGCAGACCCAACACGTCTCTCAATTATCGTATTGTCGGGATGACTGGAGAGTTGGTGCTTCGCGGCTCTCTGACGGAGGTACCCATTAACACGGAGTCCATAACACAGCCCAGCCTATTTAAGGTACTTGTCCTACTTCAGTACTTTGATTCAAATGAGCCGCCCGCGGGACAGCCAAGATGGAATAAGCGTTTCTCGGCTCGAGCGTGACGTGTCGTGCAGACAATGCCATTGCGCCACGCCAAGGTCACCACTCACCGTGGTCTAGTCTGCCCTCTAGGAAGGATCTAGTGCTTTTTCGAGTGGGACGGACAACGCTCTGTTGATGGTATGGGTAAGTATAGTTGGGTCGCGGCTGAATGAGGCTTGCACAAGTGACATGTTCGTCGCATGCCTTGATGACTTCCAAGGGCGGTAGTTCTGGCGCGTCGAGCGCCGACTTCAATACCCAGTGACCTGCTTCTACTTTCGTTAGAATAATGGTGTAATCAAATATGTTGGGTCGGCAAACCAATCAAAACCAGGGCAGCCAAGACAGGATCTGTGTTCCAGCCATCTCGATACAGACGCAGCCAGCCATCCTCGAAAATAGCCCTGGGGCTGGTGCTGATCGTGTCTTTTGACTCGTCTACCCGGATAGAGGCGACGCCGCGACGGCAGGGACAGTCTGCGGGAGACATAGGCGGAGGAGGCTCGTGGGCGAGGCAGTGCGACTTTCCTATCATGTCGAATTGTTCCTTGACGTAGCAATACGCCGATATATGATTCCGTCGAGACAGTGTCGGATGAATCGTACACTCGAGCCTATGGATAAACTATACACGACTTGATACACGGTTGATTCGCATCTGTGACATAATTCCGGAGGGAAGGTAAAGGCTTGTGTGTGCCCCGAAGTCCCGTTTAACTCACGTGAATGTGCCGCGTCTGATCCTAACCAAGCTTAGCGACAACCAACAACACCGCGATGTTCGGATCTAGCCGTCTCTTGCGGTTCATTGTGGCTGCAGCCGCGCGGAGAGAGTGCCAGGGCTATCCTAGCCCAAGGTCAAAAGGAGTTCGCGAAGCGGGACGCCAAGCCAGATGCTAGCGGAGCCATCACACCCTCTCGACTATTATCATCTCTTATTGTCCATCATGGCTGTTGGATAGCGTGTGGATAATGTGTGGCTGGTGTGGTGTGGATCTATGAAGGATTTTGTAAGGGGCTTACAGCTT